GATCAAGCTGTTCTCGCTGAAGCAGCAGAAGAAGGAGGAGGAGTCGGCCGGCGGCACCAAGGGCAGCAGCAAGAAGGCGTCGGCGGCGCAGCTCCGGATCCAAAAGGGTAGGGGTCGGGACCCCGTGTTTGAAGTCAGGGACCGGGGTGTGAAAATGCAGCCTCTGAGGTGGAGTATCGGAAGTCAGGGTTCGAGGGTTGAGGTGCGGAACGGGGGTGCGGTCACTAGGGAGGGTCAGCGATTGGGGCCGGGTTTGGGGCGTTGGGATACTAAGGCCTGGAGTGGTAGGTGCCCGGAATCTGTTAGGGGAAGGTGATAGTTTGAGAGTCAGACGGAAACTTTGCTTCACGGGCTATGAAGATAAGGTGAAGGTTGTGAACTGGAGATAATTAGGAGACGGTTTAATGTATTATATTGAGGACTTGTAGCCCAGGACTCAGGGATCGGGCAGAGAAGTTTTGAGTTTTAGGTGAAGGGGAGGGAGGAAAGGTGACTAAAAAATGGGAGTGAGGGTCAATTTAAGCTACCATGCTGGACGTCTCAAGAGTCAAGTGGGAACCGGGGTGTGGAATAACCCGGAGAAGAGGAAGGACAGTGGAGGCTGGATGGTTGATGAGAAGGGATGATGTAGTGTGTTGGAAGGGTCCGTGGTCCTTGAGTTAGGATGCACAGGTACACAGTAGTGAGTGGAGAGCATGATTCGAGAGCCTCAGGCTTAGGGTGCTCAGGGCTTCTTGGAAACCAGGGTTGTAGAAATAGAGGTTCTTGGGGACTGTGTTGTGGGAACTTGTCATGGGGGATTTAGGAGGCTAATAAGGGTTTTCCCTGTCCCAAGAGATGGGCACCCAGTTAAAACTGAAGATGCTTGTATGTGGGATACTATGTATCCAGGAGAGTCCATGTAGAGACTGAAAAGTGGGGAGAGTGTATAGTACAGACTGAGATGTAAATAAAGCACTCCACACAGCAGATCCAGGAGGACTTGGGAGTTCTGCTGACACCTGCCCAGACCTACCGCCTTTCTTTCACCTGTTTTCTCTCCCTCTCTCTGCTGCCCAAACCCAGACATTAACGAGCTGAACCTGCCTAAGACTTGTGACATCAGCTTCTCAGACCCAGACGACCTCCTCAACTTCAAGCTGGTTATCTGTCCTGATGAGGTAAGAGTAAAATAAGCATGGCGGGGTTCCCAAGAACAGACCAGGGGTAGCCCCATAGAGAATAGGGTCTTAATTCATTCTCCCTTTTCTCTCCCAGGGCTTCTACAAGAGTGGGAAGTTTGTGTTCAGTTTTAAGGTGAGTCCTAAGTGGACAGAGGTGGCTCTGTGGAGAAGCAGCAGCAGCTGAGGCATAGTCAAAACACCCACCCATCTCCTTTCTCTTTCTCTGGGGCCAGGTGGGACAAGGTTATCCTCATGATCCCCCCAAGGTGAAGTGTGAGACAATGGTTTATCATCCCAACATTGACCTCGAGGGCAACGTCTGCCTCAACATCCTCAGGTGATGGCACTGCCTTGCCTCTCCCTCCGAGGTCTGCCTTCCTTGCATTCTCTCAGCCTTTTGTCTCTCCTTTATGGTCCGTGATTCTCTGTCTTTTCATTTCCAAGTTGCCTTCCTAACAGCCCTACCTGTGCTTTCTCCATGGCCTGCCCTGTTCCATACCCTACCCCTTTCTCACCTCTCACTCTTCAGTGTTAGGAGCCTCCTATGGGCCTGGCCTGTTTGGTACTAGCAGGGCCTGTGGCAGCCTCCCACTCACCAACTCGTGATAACCTTGATGCTCTCTGCCCACAGAGAGGACTGGAAGCCAGTCCTTACGATAAACTCCATAATTTATGGCCTGCAGTATCTCTTCTTGGTGAGTAAGAGAGGCATTTGAGGCTGAGGGTTTGTTGGCCATCTACCTACCTCTCTTGCCTGTTAACTTCTGCTTGTGCTGGCCACAGGAGCCCAACCCCGAGGACCCACTGAACAAGGAGGCCGCGGAGGTCCTGCAGAACAACCGGCGGCTGTTTGAACAAAACGTGCAGCGCTCCATGAGAGGTGGTTACATCGGGTCCACCTACTTCGAGCGCTGCCTGAAATAGGGTTAGCAAATACCCATCCCTGCCAGGGTTATCAGCCCAGGCATCCCCTGCAAATATTTATTGGGGGCCCGGGTAGGGTGTGTGGGGTAGCCTTGGCTCCTGCCTTGGCCTTGCCTCTCCTTCCTGTCACCTGCCCCTAGTTATTTTTTTTTAACCACCACGTGATTATGGTCGGTGCTGCCTCCTCCCGACCTGCTCAGCGATGGGAAATGAATTGGCTTGTTTAGCGCCCCCCCCCTCCCGCTGGGTGCTGTCCAACACCCCACTCTTGACTGTGGGGTAAGTGGGCAATGGGCCTGGGTCGCTGGGCCCAAGCAACCCACCCCACCACCACTGGAGGTCCCACCAGGCTATTAAAGGGGAATGTTACTGCATGGCCTCTGCCTCTTCCTTCTGTGGGTTGGGAGGGACAAGTGAGGTCCTCCAGCGTCTGTGATGAAGATAAGTGTGTGGCAACTGTCCTTGTGTTGAGTGGGACCACTCACTGGGATGAGGAGCAAGCAATGGAAGAATCGGCTAATTTCAGTTCCTGGCATTTACACCAACATAGAACCTACAAATCATCTCCAGGCTTGCCCCTTTATGCCATGTGAGGGCCCGCCGATTTGGGTCCTGCCAGTTTTCGCACTTGCTAAGATTCCCTGAATGAACCGCCCAAAGAAGGGTGGAGTATGACCCTTCCAGAATGAATAGACCGAAGGTGCCATCGTGCTGCATTCCTGCTCGGGGCCTGTAAGGGTTATTAGGGTGGGACTTGCAAGTTCCGCAGAGGTGCGGGGCATTTTGCGCATGCGCCCGTTTTCTGGCTGTGCGCGTGCGTGCTGCCACTTCCCAGCATTCCGGGAGAGGGTGGGACCTGTGACGTCAGGCCGTTTAATCCGGAAACGGCGGCGGCGGCAGAAGCTACCGAACCGAGGGGCTGTCGTTGGTGGGGACCCAAGGCTTTGCAGAGAAGGGGGCGTGACCCGGAAGCGGAAGCCCATCGCGCTCTCGACTCCGGTGAGTGGCCCCTGCTGGGCCGCAGTCCCGGTTGGGCGACAACGTAGGAGGACTTCTCGGCTGGGGTATCGGATGTCGCGCAGTCTGCCCGACCCTGCCCTCGTCATCGAGGTCCCCACCTTTGCCTGCCCTCGGTATGCAGGCTCCTCTACATCCCCAAGACCTGCCCTCCCTGTCTCTGTCACGTCCTGGGTGTAGAATGCCACTTCTACCCCAGGTAGCCAGGTTCCCTCATCATTCAAATCCATTGCCCCACCTTAGGGCCCAGCTTCCACCTTACTATGTTTCAGAACCTACCCCATCCTATTTTCCCTTGTTGAGGGGCCCCCACAACCATCCTCTCCTGACTGAATTTAAACACCTCAGCGTGTCCACTCATGTCTGGGTCCCTGGAATACTCCAGAACCACACCCTTAATTCTGCCCTACTGTCTGAAAGCAGGGCGGGCGGAGGGGGTGCGCCTGAGCCAAAGAAGTGGATAACTTTAGTTCTGGTCGTTCTCACTTCTAGTCCTAATTCTTTTTTACTACTCATGCATACCCCCAGTTCCCAGGTCCTAACTACTTACAGGACCCTACTTCTGCCTTTTGCCTGGGCCCCACACCCTACAGCTAGGTCTGAAGTCTGCCCCAGTCATACTGGTGGAGTCCTACCACTATGGACCTGTTGTTTGGGCGCCGGAAGACGCCAGAGGAACTCCTTCGTCAAAACCAGAGGGCCCTGAACCGAGCCATGAGGGAGCTGGACAGGGAGCGGCAGAAGCTAGAAACCCAGGAAAAGAAAATCATTGCGGATATCAAAAAGATGGCAAAGCAAGGCCAGATGGTAAGTGCCAAGTGGTCAAGGGCTGGGACACAAGACAAGACGCCATCTCAGCCACTATTGTAAGTACGACAGTGGAAGACTCAACGAAAAGTTGAGTGAAGGGTGGAACAGGAGTTTCCTAGTTTGGGCTGTCTGGGAGGACTTCTTAATAGAAGTGCATGCATCAAGCAGACAACAAATGTTAGCCTTAGCAAACTGGGAGAACACAAGACCTGAGTGGTTGTGAGCCAAACAGGAGGCTGCAGTGTGAACCAGGATGAAGGATCGTCTGAGTTAACGCGCCTTAACAAAAAAGGCCAGTGAGAGCCGGGAGGTGGTGGCACACACCTTTAATTCCAGCATTTGGGAGGCAGAGGCCTGAGAGATCTGAGTTCAAGGGCAGCCTGGTCTACAAAATGAGTTCCAGGACAGCTAGGACCATTACACAACGAAACCCTGACACACACAAAAAATAAAATTTAAAAATAAAACAAATGGCCAGTGAGGATGGGAGGTGGGCTGGTGTAAACAGTTGGTTAGAGGTACCATTTCCTTGAGTGTTCCAAAAATTTAAGTAAGGAATGGAAGCTGGACCTTGGATAGGTTTGCATGTGGTTCTAGAAACAGTCTGAGGCATACATAGGCTCTGTGACACAGAAGAGTTGCATATTTTGTTTTCTTCAGTGCCAGGGCTTAGACTCCAGAATTTTGTGCATGTCAGGCAAGGCTCTACCAGAGTCCCTTGCCCAGGACAAATTTTGGTCTAGTCTAGGAGTCAAAACTGAGAAGAGTTGTAGAAGTCTTAAGAAGTGACTGTGGGCATAGAAGGAAACAGGGATAAGGACTGAGCCTAGTCCTGCACTTAAGGATCAGATTACAGAGATGCCTGAATGGATACAGTGACCCATGTCCCAACATTAGGGAAGCAGAGACAGAACTGCCAGTAGGCTACTCTGAGCTATATAGATGGCTGGAGTGATATCCCTGAGAGGAAGGTGAGATTTTTAAAGAAGTGATCATGATCACTCAGGTTAATTTCCATTAGTCTTCTTAAAGCGTAACTTCACAGCTTCATAATTTCTCTTATCCACCCTGAAGGATGCTGTTCGAATCATGGCAAAAGACCTAGTGCGAACCCGGCGATATGTACGCAAGTTTGTGTTGATGCGGGCCAACATCCAGGCTGTGTCCCTCAAGATACAGACTCTAAAATCCAACAATTCAATGGCACAAGCCATGAAGGGTGTTACTAAGGCCATGGGCACCATGAACAGACAGGTTTGTCCCTCTCAATCTACTTTCCCATCCCCATTGACCTGCAGGCAGCTTACCCTCCCCCTTCTTCCAGCTGAAATTACCCCAGATTCAGAAAATCATGATGGAGTTTGAACGGCAGGCAGAGATCATGGACATGAAGGAGGAAATGATGAATGATGCCATCGACGATGCCATGGGTGATGAGGAAGATGAAGAGGAGAGGTATGGAAAGTAACAGGAAGGCAGGGATGTTTTCCAGGCCTCTTACCCATTCATAGCACTCATGAGTTATTCTTTTCTAGTGATGCTGTTGTGTCCCAGGTCCTGGATGAGCTAGGACTGAGCCTCACAGATGAGCTATCAAGTGAGTGTTCCAAACCCTTCTTTTCCCCACCCAAAGCTCAGCCGCAGCCCTTGACCCTCAATTCTCTCTGCAGACCTCCCTTCCACTGGTGGCTCACTCAGTGTGGCTGCTGGTGGGAAGAAAGCAGAAGCCACAGCCTCAGCCCTGGCTGATGCTGATGCAGACCTGGAAGAGAGGCTCAAGAACCTTCGCAGGGACTGAACAATTCTCCAAAGGATGGACTCTACACTCAGGGTCTTTACCCTGTCCCCCTCTGAAATAAAAGAAATTTGGACATAATTTCCAAAGGCTGTGAGTTTCCCCGTATAATAAAACGTGTAATAAGAGGTGGGCAGTGGCAGCAGACGCCATTAATCCCAGGACTCAGGCAGAGGCAGGCAGATCTCCCAAGTTCAAGGCCAGCCTGGTCTACAGACTACAAAGCTACAGAGAAACCCTGTCTCAAAAAGAAACCTAAGTTGACTAACGGCAATGGGACCCATTTCCAGGTTCAATTCAGATACAGGGTTCCACAAACTGGCACACCAGAAGCCCAACCATCCAAGTGGGTGGGGTATATTAAGTTAAAACATGCCAAATAGATAAAAGTGACTGTCAGCCAAAGTGGGGTCAGAATAGGGCTCAACTGGCAATTGTCAAACCTGGGGTCAATGACAAACTTGTGTTAGGATCCTAAGCAAGAAGGAACAAATCAAATTCCTGCCAGGTGTGAATAATGCAACACTCAAGAGACAGGCAGGTCCTGAGTTAAAAGCTAGCCTGGCATTAGAGTTCCAGGAAAGCCAAACCCTGTGTGTATGGGTGGAGGGGCCAGAAAGAAAACTCTGGAATCTCAGCACACAACCCACTTATAGTACCAATAGTACAAACTGGTATCTGAGTAGCGTCAGGTCCAGATTTCCTATCTGGTCACTGGGAGCCACATGGTAGCCTGAGACCTCAACCCAAGACTCATCAGGGATAGTGTACCAGTTCTTCACTCTGCCAAAGAGAAGTTCCCCTGGGAAAGTTTGATATGGTGGGATGCAGAAAAACAGCTTGAGGCGTAAGCGACTCGGTGAAGTTTTTATTAAATCCACAGAAGTAAAAACCATTTTGTGAAGAGGGACTGGAGGACACGGCCACCAAGAGCAGGAGTCAGGCCACCAAAGGAGGAGAGGGGATGGGGTAAAAGGACAGAGACCAGAGCTTAACTGGGCTGACCACCAAGAGCTCCCCAGCTTCAGGGACCATCACCAGGGCCACCAGACAGCTCCTGAGAACTTAGGCTAGCACTGGGAAGGTTCAGCGGTGGTGGTTCTACCAGCACAGCAGAAAACTTGGTGTCACCAAAGGCATCATTCATGCGCGTCTCAAAGAAGCGCTGCAGGCCGATGATGGACTGCACATCCGCCTTGTCCTGGATTAAGAGTACAATTGGTGAGTAGGTCCTGGCTTTTTCCTCCCCCCGCTGCACCCACCCTCCCTTCATTCTGCAGGCTCACCTCAGTCAGCTTGTTGAACTGCTTGAACATGCGGCCCACATCTTGGGCAAACTCCTGGGGAGAACTATAAGGGGGTGACAGCTTCTCTTGAAGGCGAGCACGTATCAGGGTCAGGTCTAGGGTACCACCAGGCTGCTCCTGCAGGGAGACACATTGGCATGAGGGGACACCCCACCTCTTCTCGACATCGCCAACCTCTCCTACGTTCTGGAACTCACCATGGAGAATGTAGAATCGGTAGCGAGCTGGTGCAAGGGGCGGCAGGGTTCATGGCAGAACAGGGCCAGAAGGACGCGCTCACATTTCTAGACAGCACAAGGATGGTAGTTAAAGCATGGAGGGGGCTTCAGCCACTGGGCCACCCAACATCTAAGCATCCGGCCCTTACCCGCTGGTTGACTGGTGAGAGCTTAGCTACCACACCAGCGTTATCTGATCCATCCAGACTAAGGCTTCCATCTTCCTCCTTTAGATCAGGGATCACGTGGCAGAGTGAGCAACTCCACTCTTCCCTAGGGTGAAGAACAGACGTTAGTGATGACACACACCCAGCTCCCCATGATCTATCTTGATCCTGCCCAGCCTCACACATACCCTGGAACATCCTGCAGGGCAGGGAGGTGGCAATCCAGATGGAAGCAAAACTCGCACTGGTTGCACATGACCAGGTCACCTGGCTTCTGGCAGACACGGCAGATAGTGGCACTGTCATCCAGGATACCTGGTCCTCCTACTGGGACTGAGGTACCCTCAGGAGCCACCACTTCCAGGCCTGAGCTAGTACTGCCACTAGGTGAAGCCAGACGGGGTCCCTCAGGCCCGGGGCCTTCAGCCAGAGTCATCAACACAGGCTTGGTCTCAGGACCCTCAGTGGCAATAGGTGGGGCTCCAATAGCAGCTTCTGTCTCTTCTTCCTGTAAGACAGTTGAAGGGCTGTTACCAAATCTGTGCTAAGAGGTGTCACCGTCCTGTAATGGAAGACAGGCTCACCTTGACAATGGCCATGCCCGGCAGGGGTAGGGTGCCAGGAGCTCCTGGGGGAACAGTCCCAGCCTGACCAGCAGCTGCTGCAGCAGCACCACGCTCAATAACAATCAGATTGTAATCCTCAGTGGTGTTTCCAGGAAAGACCTTGAAGACTGGTGGCTGGCTATCAGCAGTGAGATCCAGATCCAGGCGTTCAAGGCTCACACGTGGCACCTTCCGCATGAGGCCACTTACCTCTCCTCCCTCACCAGAGCGGGACCTGTAAAAACACATTGTCATGAGATCCTACGCATCCCTACCACACCAGTACTATACCCACCTACTCCAACAGGCTGCCATACTTACCGCTTCATGCCCGACACATGCGGCTCTGCACTAGAGTATGGATCATCTGCTCAGAAGACAAAAGAGTTGGCAGAAAAGACAAACAGGGTACTCCCCAAGTCCTTCCAACTAACTCCCCAGACAAAACTACTTACCTGACCCAAAGCCATAGCCCTCCTGTACCTCCATGGGCTAGAGACAGAACAATGAATGTGCAATCAGTGGTTAAGTACGCCATGGCACCACCCCATGGACCTCACCCCTTTCCTGGTTCCTCTCCCCAGCTCACCTGGTTGCTGCCGGAGCCTTGTTTGCTTAGGGGCCCTGGAGCTCTTGGAGGAGCCATAGGTCCAGGACCTGTGGAGTTTGTACCAGGACGCTCAGCCACGATCTTGCCTGGAGAAAAAAAAAAGAATCCTCAGTAGGTGCAGTACTGCCTAGGATGCTCCCAGGTCAAGCAAGACAAGCGACATACCAAAAGCCTCAGCACTCTTGGTCCAAGCATTGAGATCCCACTGAAACTTCATTTCACCATGAGGCTCCACAGGATCCACAATCATTTTGAGAGCACGATGCAGTTGAAAATAGATCTAATGGGGCAAAAGGTAGCATATGATGAGCCAGCCCACTTGGCAATTTACAGGGTCCCAAAGGTACTAAAGGGCCACCTAAAGCCCACCACTACACACCAGCTTCTTAGAAAGCAAGAGGGCTGTATTATTATCACTTTCCAGAGCCCAAGAGGCAAATCGCAAAATGTGTTCCTGATGCTTCTGGATTTTGGTCATGGTCCAGTGCTGGCGCTCCAGACGCTCCTGTTGCCCCTCTGTCACTTTCTGCAAGTTCAAAAGAACAGTGTCAGCTAAAAGGCAAGACAATGAGTACTAGGATCATTCTCTACACTCTGGATGTTGTCATGCCAGCAGGATAAGGCTTACCTGGGCATCATTAACCAATACTCGACCCCGCTTATTGAGCTCCTTCATGATCTGCAGAATGGCCATCTTGACATCAACCTGCACACGCTTCTGCACATCAGATACCTGGCGGATCCTAATAGACAAGACAAGTCAAGCCAGGAAACCTTGCCCTGGGAACCCAATAGCCTTGGCACCCACACTTACGAGCTGCGAACCTCCTTGGTGTTTTTCTGCAGTGTGGCATGCTTGTCCCCAAGACGTTTCACCAGAGAAGCCAACAATTTGCGCTGGTTCCTCACTGCATCTTCCAAAAACTGGTACCTGAAACCACAAAAATGTGAGCTTGGATGCTCAACTTGGAAATGGTGGCATCCACCTACCCAGTGAAACTTGCAACTCACTGATGATCCTTGTGAGCATTTAGCTGGCAGTCCCGGCAGGTCAGAGTGTCACAGCTCTCACAAAACAGCACAAGGGGTTCATGCTTGTGCACACTACAATAGACTGTGCGTTCACCATCTCGAGTCTTAGCAGGCCCTGGAAAATAGGAAAATCATGCCCTTAGCCATCTAAAACTTAAGCACCAGACAAAACCGTTGTGACCATTTCTAGTTCATCCCACAACCTTGACCCACCTATTAAGACGTGTATCAGCAATGGAAGGTTTAGCGCCCAGATGATCACTATCCATCATTAACGGATAACAAGCTTGTGAAGAAAACTCCATACTTCCATACTATTTCCTGCTCATCTTTCTGCCTGCCAATAAATCATTCCTAATCCTAACCCTATATGGTGCTGATGGCTTTGGATACCTAGACACCAAAACACCTCCCTGTTTAAAGTCTAATTACATTATCTGCACCCAGGAAATTCAAAGATGATCACAAGTTCAATGGCAAGCTTGAGCTGCATAAAGTCAATTCAAAGCCAGACTTGTCTTTATAGTGAGACTTATCTTGAAGAGAAGAGGCTAGACATAATCCCAGGAAACAAAGGCAGATCTGATTTTGACACCAACCTGATTAACTGGTCAGCCAGAACTACATACTGAGCTATCTCTCCTCAAAAAGGTCTTTAATCCCAGCACTTGGAAGGCATTGGTAAGCAAGATCTTTGTAAACGTGAAGGTCAGCCTGGTCTAGGCAGTGATTTAAAGGATAGGAAGGGCTATACAGAAACCTTATCTCAAAATACAAAGAGCTGGGTGTGGCAACACACTTTAATCCTAGCACTAGGGAAGCTGAGTGAAGGCCTGGTCTACAGTGAGTTAAAGCTGGGCGTGGCAACACATTCTGTTAATTCTAGAACTTGGGAGATAAAGGTATCTGTCTGAGTTGAGGCCAGTCAGTTCTACCAAGTTCCATGGCAGATAGGGCTGTTAATAGAAAAACATCTCAAAAAAAAAAAAAAAAGAAAAAGGGTAGGGCGATCAAGAGCCTATTTTAATCAAGCACTTTGGAGCTATGGAAGGAACATCAAGAGTCTAAGGCCAACCTCAGCCAAAATAAGACAATGTTTCACAAAAACAAAGTAACAGACTTTAATGTCCCTTTTCTCTCCA